CCCCCCCCCCCCCCCCCCCCCCCCCCCCCCCCCCGCCCCCCCCCCCCCCCCCCCCCCCCCCCCCCTGCTGACGCCTGGGGCGTGGCTGCCGTCACACGCGCGCGCGCCGGCTCCGGGGATGACGCGCGCGCGCGCCCGCGCCCCCGAGGGCCGGAGGCCCCCAGGCAGCCTGGCACCCCCCATCGCCCGCCGGAGGGCGGTGTGGACAAGGGCCCGAGCCACGGCCCGCGTCGGATTCGGTCCCTCGTCCCCCCGGCGGTTCCTCGCCGGCCGCGCCCCGCGCTGTCCGGCGCAGGGGGAAAATGGCGAAAGCGCCGGCGGCCCAGCCTGGGCGCGGCTCGCGCATTCACGAAGGCCACCCACGCAACGCGGCCGACCAATATAACCCCGCCCTCGACGGCGCCCACAGCCGGCGAGGGGGGGAGGGCCCCCGGGGGGGGGGGGACCATGGGCAGGTGTCGGTACACGACCAGACCCTTCCACAACCTCGCCGCAGACCCGGGTCCGCCGGGAGGAAGGGCAAGCGGCGAGCAGGGGGTTGCATTGTACCCCGGAGACACGACGCGCCAGCATACGGCGGTCGAGACGCGCGCGAGGCCGGCTCCGGGCCGGCTGGCTGCAGCGGGAGGGACACACCCCTGCCTCGGCCGATGGGCGCGCCCGGGATGTACCATTCCCAGAGGGGCGCCCTCCTGGGAACACCATTCCGACCCTCAACTAGGCCAACAACGTGTGCCGAACCCCGCGTCCTGTGAATCATGAGGGATGCGCGGGTCATAATGAGTCATTTGGCCGCGCAGGCCCGGACGGCATGTGATCATCCCCGTGGAGATCACACCCTCGCCACCAACCTGTGGCGATCCCGGGCCTCTGCCTTTTCCTTTTGTTTTTTTTTTTTGTTTTTTCTCATGCTATACGCGGGCATGCGCTGCATCCTGCCCGTGTCCGTCTGTCCGTCCGTCCGCCGCTTCTCGCTCTTGCCCCCGGGGCGCGGCCTTGGGAAGGAATAAAAAAGGTGTTTATGTGTGGATGGGCCTGGGCAAGGGGACAAAGGCGCAAGGGGGAATGTGGAAGAAGGGAGAAACAGGCAGAGGGAGACACCAAAGGCACATATTATGTGGGCCAGGGAGGGGGAGGCCCCATATGTGCGAGGGGGTGCGGCATGCGCTTCGGCCCGGCCTCCTCCCTCTCGCGGATGGGGCACTGAATGGGGGGGGGGGGGGGGGGGAACAAAACCCGCGACTCCCCCCCCCCCTGGGGGGCCCTTCCGCGGGTGCCTCCCCCCCCCCCCCCCCTTGATGCCTCTTGTGGCGACTTCCCTTTTGGTCCTGTGCCTGTTCGCTCGAAGGGACAGAGAGAGAGAGAGAGAGAGGTGGGGCAACGCACTGCGCTCCCTTAGACCATGGGCGAAGCGCTGCTGGCGGGGCGGCGCTGCTCGCCGAGCGAGCGGATGATGTGGATGTTCATGATGGCCGGGCCAACACGCGACGCGACCACCAGGTCGTCCCCATGTCGCCGCATGAGGTACCGGAGCTTCTGGCATTCGAAGTCCCGCACGGTTTGGATCAGCTCGCCGGTGTGGCGCCAGAAGACGTCGATCTGCGAGGCACCGAAGCTGAGGATCTTGTTCTCGCGAATCGGCAGCACCGCCATCGGGGTGTTGCGCCAAGAGAAGATCGGCCCCACCCGGCGGAAGTTGTTGACATCCAAGAAGAACCCGGAGTTCCGGTACACCAGCAGCGGCTGCCGGTGGTTGATGACCGCCAGGCTGTGGGGGACATCCTTCTCCTCGAGGCGGATGACCTTGGCCCTGTGGTGTAGGTGGGGGCACCCACACAAGGGGCGAGGAAAGAGCGGGGGGGGGGGTGTCAGTGTCAGCGAAGCGCAGAGTGGCCGGGCAGAAGAGGGGAGGAGGGAGAGAGGGGGAAAGAACGAAAAGGAGGGAGGAAAAGAGAGACAGAGAAAAAGATAGATAGAGAGAGACAGAGAGAGACAGAGAGAGACAGAGAGAGAAGGACAGAGAGAGAGACAGAGAGAGACAGAGAGAGAAAGACAGAGAGAGAGAGAGAAAGAAAGACAGAGAGAGACAGAGAGAGACAGAGAGAGA